CTGATCACGCATCCCTGGATGAGTATAACCACCTAGAGGACCTATGCCGAGTGGAGATGCAGGAGGATGTATACTGGAAGTAGAGGGCCAAACAGCACTGGCTCAAGGATGCTGATGCCAACACGAAATTTTATCACAGGTATGCCTCGAACCGAAGGAATAAGAATACTTTAATTAAAATTATGGATAGTAGCGGTGAATGGGTGGAAGGGGATGATATGGCGGGTGTGGTTCTGGATTATTTTAAGCACATTTTTACAACTAGTAATCCCATGAGTGGTGATCTGATCTATAGAAATATTACTCCACGAGTAACTCAGGCACAAAATGAGTTATTAATGCGACCCTTTGAGGTTGGTGAGGTGAAAGATGATCTCTTTGAAATGTATCCTGATAAGGCACCAGGGCCGGATGTGATGAACCCGGATTTTTATCAGAGTTTTTGGGATATTGTGGGGGGTGATATCTCGACTTTTATTGTAAGCTGTCTGAATGCAGGCTCATTGCCACCTGGTCTGAATAATACCGATGTCGTATTAATTCCTAAGAAAGATGTTCCTGAGCAGGTCTCTGATTTGAGACCAATTGCGCTTAGTAATGTAATTTATAGGATTATGGCCAAAATGATTACTCGGAGGATGAAACCCCTAATGGATAGTATTATATCTGAGTCCCAGAGTGCATTTATACCAGGAAGGTTGATAACGGATAATATTTTGATTGCCTCAGAGGTAGGCCATTATTTGAACAGGAAACAGTGTGGAGCAGTTGGTTGGAGTGCCTTAAAACTAGATATGGCGAAGGCCTATGATCGTATGGAATGACCTTTTTTGAAAGGTATGATGGTGGCCCTGGGATTTAATGATAAGTGGATTGATCTTATCATGATGTGTGTTACAACGGTATCCTATAATTTCCTGGTGAATGGGACACATAGTGATTCACTAATACCAACTAGGGGCTTAAGATAGGGGGATCCATTATCTCCGTACCTTTTTATAATTTGTGCTGAAGGTCTCTCTATGTTGTTACAACAAGCACAAGGAAGGGGTTTAATACATGGATGTAGAGTAGCAAGGGGTGCTCCGCCTATCTCACATCTTTTCTTTGCTGATGATAGCTTATTGTTTTTTAAAGCAACTGTGCAGGAGGCAAATGAAATTAAAGGATGCCTGACTCTATATGAAAGTCTGTCTGGGCAGGCTGTTAATTACCATAAATCCAGTATATGCTATAGTAAGAATACGACGGAGGAGGTCAAGGAAAATGTGGCGCAAGTTTTGGGTGTGATCCAGGCTCCTAACTATGGGAAGTATCTTGGGTTGCCATCATTTATTGGCAGAAATAAAAAAGCGGCATTTGCTTATATAGAAGACAAGATCAGACAGAGAATAGGATCTTGGAACAAGAAACTATTGTCACAGGCAGGAAAAGAGGTCTTATTGAAAAGTATGCCTACTTTCTCAATGAGTGTTTTCTTATTGCCTACTACTATCTGTACGGCTATTGGGCGGTTGATGAATAGGTATTGGTGGGGCTCAGGGACTGACCAGAGAATCCATTGGAAAGCCTGTGATAAGTTATGTATTCCAAAGAAGTATGGTGGATTGGGCTTTGAAGACCTAAGAGCTTTCAATGTGGCAATGTTGGGGAAGCAAGCTTGGAGACTATTAACCAATACAGATTCTCTAGTTTCTAAAGTTTATAAGGCAAGATATTATCCGAACCAGCCTTTTACTGATGCGATTATTGGGAACAACCCAAGTCACTGTTGGCGGAGCATTATGGCGGCTAAGGGTTTAATTTGTAGTGGGGTAAGAAGACGAATTGGGAACGGAGATTCTACCTCGGTGTGGGGACACCCATGGTTGCAAGATGAAGATGACCCCATGATCCAAACAGAAATGCCACCCCAACTGAGTAATGCCAGGGTAATCAATTTAATTGAACAGGATACAGGCACTTGGGATTATGATTTGCTTACTGATATTTTTGAGCCAAGTGATGTGGCTAGAATACTAAAACTACCAATCTCCCCAGACTATGATGATATGTGGTACTGGTATGGCGACCCCAAGGGCAACTATACAGTTAAACATGGGTATAAATGTGTTTTGGGAATTATGAGAATGTGGAGAATGAGGGTTTTATGAAATGGCTAACATTGTGGAAGCAAAGAATACCACCAAAATGGAAGACTTTATTATGGAGAGCTTTGAGTGATATCCTCTCTACTACCAATAACTTGCTTATAAAAAGAGTAGAGGTTGATCCGGTGTGTGCCATGTGTGGAGTTGCAAATGAGAATATTATGCATGCATTGGTTTTGTGTGACTACGCAAGGACCATTTGGGCACTATCTAACCTTCCATCTATAAATATTGTGACAAATATTTTTTATGAATGGTTTAGTGCAATGTTAAATATTCTAGATTCTGATGGTATTGCCTACGCAGCTGCAATTATTTATCATTTATGGAGGGCTCGGAATGGTGCGGTTTGGGAAGCATATTTACCCAGACCACGACGATTGCTCGCCGCGGCCCAGGCCGAGTTAGCCGCATGGCACCATGTCCATGCGCCGAGAGGGGAAACGAGTGCTGCGCCAACCAGAGCCCCACTGCCCAGCACTGCCCACGAAACTGCCATCCAAGCTACACCAAATCACGGCCCAGCGGCCAATATTGCCCACGAAGCCGGCATCTAGTATACGGAAGATCACGCCCCAACACAAATACAATCCAAATGCTATGTCGATGCTGGATATCACTATACGGACAATGCGGCAACGGTAGGAGCAGTAATAATTGGATCAGATGGTCGATTTATTTCGGCATACGCCGCACCTTTGCCACGTTGTTTTTCCCCACTAATGGCTGAGGCATATGCTTTTAAGGAGGCTCTATCTTGGCTACGCGACCGTGGAGAACAAAATGTCGAACTTTATACAGATTGCCAGATGCTACAAAGTTATTTAACCACACCGCAACTGCTCACACGATCATATGTTGGCTATGCTATTGATGGATGCAGGAACTTTTTGTCAATGTTTAATTATAGTCATGTTAATTTCATTCCTAGATCGCAGAATTATTTAGCGCATAGTTTAGCTTCTACAGCTTTCTAGTATGATACAGCTATGTATTGGGATGCTATCCCACCTGATGCTATTTCAGCTTATCTATGAATACAACCCATTGGTTGACCTTCAAAAAAAAAAGATTAAAACATTTCATCATTAATCTATTTCATAACATATTTTAAAATACACAAGAATTAAATACAAACTATGATAAAATATTTGTTAGAGTTAATTTCATTTTTGGTCCTAAATTTATAATTGTTAGTCCACTTTTAGTCACTTTTTTTCAAAACATCCGATTTTGGTGATATTATTATTGTGGCATGACCATTATTGGTTCTCCGTCAACAAATATGTTTAAAGGACATTAAATATGACGTTATTAACCACTCAAAGTTCTCATTTTTTCTTCTTGGAACCACTAAGTCTTGTGAATTTTTATGAAATAGACTTATGCATTAGACTTCAATTTGTCATGGAGTAGACTTGTGGTTTTTAGAGTGTGCAAACTTTGATAAAAGTTCGATTAATCGACCTAACCGAAAAATTTCGATTAACCGTTTTTAACTGAAATACTCCAGTTCGATTAATGGTTAAAGAGTTTATAGAATTTCGGTTAACGGTTAATTAAGTTACAAAAATATTAGTTAATCGAATTTATCTATCGATTAACCAAAGTGAACTCAAATGATTATGGTAGTCTGCTATGGATGCATCGTGCTGGAAAAAGGTTGTTATACACTTTTCAATTTCATAGATGCAAGGTCCATTCGCAGTAGAAAATCGTTCTTGTAAATCTGTCCAAGCGGAGGCAGCACCGGTGGCATATAGGATCGTGTTAGCCATGGACGAGTGTATTGAATTGAGGATCCATGACATCACAATGTTGTTCACCCGGTGCCAATGAGCGTGATCGGGATAGGCAACAGCTAGCATGGGAAAGGATCTGTCAACAAAACAAAATTTATTGCGCCTTTTAAGGGCCATTGTCATCGCCCGTGCCCAAGGATTGTAGTTATCAATGCCGGTGAGAACATTGCCAACAAGCGTGGTGCCCATACAATAAGAAGAGTAGAGATAATATGGATTTTCAGCATCGAAAAGGACGATAAAGGGTTGTCGCCAAGGTTGCAAAAAACGTTAGGCGCCCCCAGGCGCCAAGGGGGCGCCTAGCGCCTAGGAGCCGATTTTTTATTTTTATTTTTTATTTTAAAAAAATTAAACTAAAAATTTTAAAATTTAATAGTGAAACATAAGGTTCCTCTAGTTTTTTCTTACAAATTATTTACGTAAGTGGTTGTAAAATCGTTTTGAATATTGTTGAAACCATCTAAATACATAAAAAGTTAAAATTAGAGTAAAAGACATTTTTAGTCTTAAATTTATAGTGGCTTGGACAATTTTAGTCCTTTATAAAAAATTTGCCATTTTATGGACAGAGCTATTGTGGCGAGGACATTTTTGGTCCTCCGTCTATATTTCTGTTAGATAAACGTCTAAGAGAGGGGTAATTACGTCAATTTAGGCTATCTCCTTCTATCTATTATATCTATGTGTGTTTTGTTTTCTTCTCGGTCATAATTCGAAGGAGTCGGAGAGTCCAAGTTGCAGTTGTACGAAGAAATTGCCGGAGAATCGAAGCCGCCAAACAGGTTACTAATCAAATAGATAGAAGGAGAATCGAAGTCGCCAAACACACATAGATATAATAGATAGAAGGAGATAACCTAAATTGATGTAATTGCCCCTCTCTCATACGGTTATCTAACAGAAATATAGACGGAGGACCAAAAATGTCCTCGCCACAATAACTCTGTCCATAAAATGACAAATTTTTTTTATAAAGGACTAAAATTATCCAAGCCACTATAAGTCTAGGACAAAAAATGTCTTTTACTCTTAAAATTAAGAGCAAAAGAAGCATTTTTGGAGAAGTAAGAGGGCCAAACTGCCTTTGGCTGTTTGTGGTGTATAGATCTCGAAAAAATACGCGATTTGAAAAAATAATTGTCCAAAACGGACAACCGAATCAAAAGTTATGCCTTTCCGAACTTTTAACACTTTACAACACAAAAAAAATTGAAAAAAAATAAAATTAAACGGCCGAACCGGCCAGCTAGACAGTCTAGGCGGCCGCCTAGCCACCCGGCCGCGGAGGAGGCCGATTTCGGCCGAATCATCCGCAGTCGGGCGGCGCCTAGACGCGATTTTTGCAACATTCGTTGTCGCTGAATGGCAAAAACATGACTAGTGTTGATGGTGGATTCGTCCGGATTAGTGGATGCACAGAGAGAGTCTGTCGGTGTTGTAGCCGTCTTTGGAGACTGGAATGTAGTGCCAAAAGGAAATCAACAAAGATGAAGAAACATTGAGCAATTGAAACCTTCTGATACCATATAAGTTGTGTTATGTACGTATGAATACATGGAGGAATGAGAATAATATATTAACTATGTATATTGACTTGTAGTGAACTAAGGATTACATAAGATATATACATTGGTTTGAAAAATAAAATAAAATAAAAAGGTAAGAATACATATAATAAAGTTATTTACCTAAAAAGATACACTAATTGTTTTCAAATAATATGACTAAATATATATATATATATATATATATATATATATATATATATATATATATGTATATGTATATATATATATATATATATATATTTAGTGAGTCTGGGCAGGGCTTGGAAAAATATGAGGCCTTATGCACGCAGGGGGTGGTTTAATTCTTTGTTTGATGGGTGAGAATAAGTTCTTTGGGCTTCATTAAAAATGCCCCATAGAAATGGAAATCAGTTTTGGAAAATTCACATGGGCTTATGTTGGCCGAATGGATATGATGGGCTGTGCAATGGCTTTGGGCCTGGTCTGTTGATTAGGCCTTTATTGGAGGCAATTTATATCCTACACCACGGCGCGCGTTGCACTGTGCGCCCAGATGCAAAACGACGTCATTTTAATTTTAATTTTTTTGAAATTTCCCGCCCCAGTGAATGTCAGTTATTTTTTCTTTAAAAAAACCTCTGTTAAAAAATGTACATAATGTTATACTAGAATACACATAATTATATACATGAATGTACATAATTATATAACAAAATATACATACTCTTTTTAAAAGATAATACACATATCTAACATAATAAATAATAAATATAAACTTTTAACATAATACACGTCAACTCTTAACATAATACACACAAATTTTCTGATTCGGATGTACATAATTGTATATGGTAGGGAATACCCCGACCGACATGCCTTTGTCTTCTTTCTTATTGTTTTACAGGTGACAGGTCGGATTTCTTTGGAAGAACCCGGTAGGGGACCGACCGGGCACTGCCCGACCAGTGGTGTCAACCACCGAGCGGTAGCTCTTAAGCAAGAGAGCTATGTGGATGCACGTGGCAGCACCAGGCGTTGACAGGCAAGGCACCCGGGAGGATGACACGTGGATGCTACGTGGGAAGCATGCCGAACGGCCGGACTTGTGTCTCCGGCTCCGCGGCTATAAATACCCGTCGACGCAATAGTGTGGGGGACTTTTGGACGATCAATAGGCTGTTATTAGAGACTCCCGACCGCAGTCAGTCGGTACTCGGAACAGTCACTTAGATTGTACTTAGGGCCTTTGCTTGATCAATAAAGTTATTTACTTGCTTTAATTGGTCTCGTATTATTTGTTAATTATCGCACACGTGGAATTAACACTATCATTTTGGCGCCGTCTGTGGGGACTCGTGCACGAAAGCTACGTCAACCGAGCACCGGTACCTCTTCATCAACACGATGTTTCCTTTCATGTATAACCTCAACGACTACGACCAAGCAGACGCAGCTAGCGACAATCAAGGTCAGAACGTCGATCTCAATCTCAACCTCTCTCCACCACACCCACCGGTTCATCAAGCGGCCCAGCACCAGGTGCAGTATGTTCAACCGGCATACCCGATGCCTGCCCAACTGGGATATCCTACTCCCGGTCAGCAGATCCCTTATCCCAGGCAATATCCGTACCCAACTCCTCCTCAACCTTACAGATATTGGCCCAGTCAGCCAATGTTTTATCAGTCCCCAGCCGGATATCCACCATACATGCCTGCGTACACGGCTCCAGCCGCCGCCCCTCCAGTATACCCGACTGCTCATGTAGAGCCGGAGCATCAGCCCATTTCCCGGGCTCGACGCTCGGCTCGTTCGCGGTTGGGGTCGGGGGTGTTGATGCGATGGAGGCACTACGGCAGAATCCACAAGCAGCACTAGAGTTTCCCGCCCGAGCGGAAGATCCCGAGCAGATTGATCGGGAAGTGGCTTTTGATCTTCTTCGACCGGAAATGCGACAACGCCTAAGACCGGGCTCAAGTCGGCCAGCAGATGATGTGCCGATGCAGGATGTTAGCCAGGAGGCATCGTCTGGGCATAGCGGGTCGAGATCTCACCGTCGACGACGCGCTCGGGAAGAAAGCCAGGCTCAGATGGCTGAGCTCAACGAAACCCGAGGATTGCTCTACAACCTCCAGGCGGAGTTCGCTCAGTTCAGGAACTCGCATCCTGTCAGGCCCCCGGTCGACCAGTCAACTTTGTTGAGAACGCCTTTTACAGCGGAGATAATGGCACAGCCCTACCCGCTTGATTTAAAGGTGTCCGGGGAGAAGAGTTACGATGGCCGTACGGACCCTGAGGTCCATGTTAATGATTTCTACGGCAACATGATGTTGAAGGGCGTGTCAGACGCCGTGATGTGCAGAGCTTTCTATTCCACGCTCACCGGTCGGGCGGCGGAATGGTTCCGAACATTGCAACCGGGGTCCATTGCTGATTTCAATGCCCTATCTATCCAGTTCGTGAGAAAGTTCATTACCTCCAGGGTGATCAGGAAATCTTATATGTACCTGGAGAAAGCCAAGCAGTTGGAAGGGAGAGCTTGATTGATTTTCTAGTCAAGTGGAAGGCCGCAGTGGCGGAGGTGGAGCCCATGGATGATCTCACAGCCATCCATATGCTTCATATAGCCCTCCGCGCCGGCTATCTTTATCAACATTTCATTCTCCATCCCCCGACCACATATGAGGAGGCCCTCCGAAGGGTCACAGATTACGCCAACGCCGGTGAGGCCAATGCAGTGAAGCGCTCACAAGAGGTCGGGACGTCGTCCCGTAAACCGGCCGGCCGGGCGGATCATCGGTCGCTTGATGACCATCCCCAATCCCGCACCAGGCCAAGTGAGTTTACGGCGCTCAACCGATCCGCGGCAGAAGTGATGCGGTACGCCCAGTCCTGCAATTTGATTAAACTCCCCCATCCTAGGCAAGATGGTCCCGACAAGACCAAGCATTGTGCATACCATCGTTGCGCCGGTCATGACACCGAGGAGTGTACCCACTTGCGTCAATTGCTGGAAGACTTGCTTAACCTCGGCAAGTTAGACAAGTGTGTGGGGAAAAGAGAGGAGACGAAGAAGAACACCGATCGGAGAGACAACCGGCGTTCCCACCACCGTTCTGATCGCTCTGATCGGTCGGGGTCCGACAGACGAGATGACCGAAGGGACCCCGATCCCCCATCAAGCAGCAGACCGGCAGGCAAGCCGACGATCCACGTCATTTTTGGTGGATTGGATGACGCATCCCGACCGAGGGAGAACTGCCCGGTCGCCATAGTAGATTCCCGGGATACCGGGAAAAGACAAAAAATGGAACCCATAACCTTCACTCTGGAAGATCAACCAAGCAGCGGTGATCACGGCATGGAGGCGCTCGTGGTCACCATCGACATCAATGGCACGGACGTCCAGAGGGTTATGGTGGACACTGGGAGCAGTGTCAACGTCCTTTATTTGGACGTGTTCGAGAAGTTGAAGCTGGACAGGCGCGAGCTGACCCCGGTCGGTGTACCCCTGTCAGGATTTACCAGGGCTCTTATCTACCCCGAAGGAAAGATTACGCTCCCAGTCGAGATCGGCACTCCCCGAAGTGGATCAAAACAGAGCTGGAATTCGTTGTGGTCAACCTCCATTGTGTCCACAACATTATCTTAGGTCGCCCCGCCATCATGAAGATCGGTGGGATAATTTCAATGCCTCATTTATGCATGAAATTTCCCACCCCGAACGGGGTCGGTGTTGTCCGAGGCGACGTCCAATCCGCCCGAAAGTGTTATACCTGAGCGGTTAACAGGTGTGACACTAGCACGTCTTCCCGGGTAAACACGATCGTGAAAGAAGTCTCCAACGATCGGAAGGAGCAGCCCGAGCCCTCCGAGGAGATTGAGGAAGTTCCCCTGTCCGAGGACCGACCGGACATGAATATTAAAATTGGTCGGGCCCTTACCCCCGAGCTCAGGGCCGAAATTTTGGCGATCCTACGGGAATTCGCTAATATCTTTGCATGGGGGCCCGAGGATATGCCCGGGATCGACCGGACGGTCATCTGCCACAAGTTAGCTGTCGATCCTGCAGCGAAGCTGGTCGTGCAAAAGACCCGGCACCTATCATCCGATCGCCGCGAGTTTTTTCGCGAGGAAGTCAAGAAGATGGCGGCGATCGAGCACATCCGACCAGTTATCTATCCCGAGTGGGTGGCTAACATTGTCCTTGTTCCTAAGCCCCCGTCGTGGAGGATGTGCATTGATTTCACGGATCTGAACAAAGCCTGCCCTCTCGACCCCTATCCATTACTGAGCATCCATCAGATGGTCGATGAGACGAGCGGGGCTGAGCTGATGAGTTTCATGGATGCATTCAAAGGATATCACCAAATAATGATGCACCATGAGGATGAGAGCAAAACAGCCTTCGTTACCCCGGACAGGCTGTATTGCTACCGAGTGATGCCGTTCGGCCTCCGCAACGCGGGAGCGACCTACCAGAGAATGGTCAATATGCTCTATGTTGATCTTCTAGGCCGAACGATGGAA